CCTGTTTTGAATATATAGAGAGTAGAAAATAGAGATATTTGTATTACAATATTTAGAGTGAAAGTAAAATATTGTCAGAAAAATAATCAAGTACAGACACCTGAAAATTCTACTTAGGTACAATAATAAAATATTTCTACTTGATTACTTACCACCACTCACAGCCACTAAATATTGGAAGATACTGTCTGAATTATGTGTCTTATTTGTATCATAACACAAAAAAATGATCAGGAGAAATTTATATAATTAGCTTTATTCTAGTTATACACTTTAATGTAAAAATCCTCTCAGGACTGGAACATCCTCTGCCTGAGAGCCAAAATGTAACTGTAAATAAATTGGAAAACTAATTTTATGTCATTTTTGTGTATACAGACATATCTATCATATCATAACTATGTTTACATTTTTAAATGTATGTTTCACAATAAGCCTATGTGCACAGACCTTCAGAAAGCCTGTGTAGTCGTAGGGCCTTCATGTTGTCCGATTTTGGAAATGAGCCACTGAGTGGTGCTCCATCCTTGCAGTGCGTGGGCTGACCTTATGGCTACAAAGGTCACAAGGTCATGATGGATGGGTTAAAGTTGAGCCAGGTGCTCCAGCGCCTCCCCCTCGCAGCGCATGCAGTGGTAGCCCATGGAAGCAGTGATATCGAAGCAGCCCTGGCTGAGGTAAAAGTCCATAGATGGTTTGTTCCAGTCCAGGACGGTGAAGTTGAGCTGGTGGCAACCAGCAGCCAGAGCCAGCTACAGGAGAGCAAAAACAAGAAGAAATGACTGCTGAGTTGAGATACAGCATGGAGGGTTCTTTTTTCTGCTACCTCTGAGACACTGTTTAGTACTTTTTGCTCACAAATACTGAAAACAGGATATTCCTATCAAGGTTTATCTTCTTTAGGTTTATCTTCTCCATTATACACATATTTCACTCACCTGTGCCACCTTGTTTATTAGTGCTTTGCCAACGCCTGTCCCTGAAAGGCAGATCATGTGCATTACTTGAGATTTTCTGCAAATACAGTGATGATGAGACATCTTCTCAGAGGCTGTACTGTACCTCTGAACTCAGGCATCACATACAGGTCCTCCATATAAATGGCTCTGCCTGACCAGGAGCTGTAGGAATAGAAGTAAAGTGCATAGCCAATCTTTGTGTGCCCTGAAAGAGGAAAAATATCAGTCTGAGCTAGCTTACAGTTAACATATTTGTTTTGTCGTTCCTTCCCACTGAGTTAATGACTCTGAATATTTAGCACAATGATTATTAATGGCATAATGCTTTACTTTACACTGTAAACACATTCCTTTACATCAGTGAAAAAATTATACGATTTGTGGTGCTGCTCACAGTTAATGTGCAGCAAACTTTATAAATAAAACCTCACATTTCCCAGTGGTGAGGCTGGTTAGGTCATTTTAACCACTATTACTTTTTTGGTTTTGGTTTCTTGGAGGCAGCAGAACATCAGGAGTCATGTTGCTGGTGCCCAGGGACACTATGCAATATATTCAGTTTTAGAAGTTATATTCATTGTTAACTGTAGCCTGGCTCAAAGTGTTAATGCTGTCTTATTTTAATAAACAACACTGTCATATGCAAAACCAGCGTGGCACTAAGGGTGGAAAGAGATCATTTTCAGGCTGGCACATGCCATCCCTCTAGATCCGCCCCTGCTAGTGACTTGATGAATCTGATGATTCTGAGTCCAGAACAATTTAGCTGCTAACTTCTCTGCTGATTGGTTCTGGACAGTTCGTGGATTTATTGAGTTTTTCTAGCAGCTGATGAGAGCGGAGCACGACATTAATGAGGTCCAGGACATAAGTAGCTACATCTCAGTATAGACTCTGATATTTGAAGTCAGCAGATAGTGGACAGCAGTGACTGTGTGGAAAAACACCTGTGTCATGGGAGGAAAAAGCACAGCTGGGCAGCAGAGAGTAAGTAAGCAAATAAGAAGTGTTTATGGAGGTAGACTGATGTACAATAGAAAGTACTTTGGCAATAAAACTTACTTGCAAAAAACTAAAAAGGAGGGTTACAACACTTTTGTACCCTGTTTAGGTTTTATAATGGTTTATTAAGGTTTACAGAATAATAAATTTGCTTGCAAGAACATGAGCATAAAAAAACAAGAGAAAGGTGACTGTTTCCTATGTTTCTTATTGTCTTTCCCCGACAAGCAACAAAGACTTTGTGCTCACTCTGACCTACAGGCATAGTTAGTATCAGTGTAGTGAAAACAGTGTGTAAAAACTGAGTGTAACATGATCACCTTCTTTGGTTTTGTGCTGTTCTGGCACCTCAGCGATGATCCCATGAAACAACGGGTTATTGGAAAAGCCATCTTGCTCCAAGTCTGAAATGAAATTACAGACATAAACCTCCATCCACCTATTCTCTTTCACTTATCCTTGGATGGAGCCTATCCCAGCTACCATAGACAAATAAAGTTTTTTTTTTTTACCCTAATTTTAAGGTCACACATTACGGAGTGTTTGTAAACGGGTGTTTTGAACAGAAGAAAGAGGCCAATGACACTTAGTGGTGGAATGAAGAATTGCAAGAAAGTGTTGAAAGAGAAGGATGGGTGTTGGGAAGATGGAAGGAACAGTTTGAGGAAATGATGAATGAAGAAAATGAGAGAGAGGAAGACAGGTGGTGAAATAAGTGTAAAGAGGAAGCGAGGGCAGCTATGCAGACGATGAAAAGTGGGAATGTGGTTGGTTCAGAATACATGAACTATTTTCAAAAAGGAGAGAAGTAATGTTCTTAGTTTTATTATATGCTTCTTTGGTACTAGCCTGATGTAGCTTTGATGTCAGTGTTTCTTGAGTCTCTGGGTGTCTATGAGAACGAGAGCAAACTGCTCTTAAAATGATGCTGTCTTTTTATTATAATTATTTTCCTACTTTGCTGTAATTATTATCCTACATCTGGCCTTTGGCATATGTTCTCGATACAATTGGAAAAATAATAAAACTAAGACTGAAAATAATAAATAACCAACAAAAACTAAACATTTTCAAAAAGTAAAAACTAAAGTGAAATATGAAACTCCACCCCAGAAACTAAACTGAACTAAAAACAAAAAGTCAAAATTGAAAGAAATACTGTATATAAAATTAAAAAAACCAAAAAAACTACAGTAACTTGGCTCTGAACCTCTTTTGGGATATCACCTTGGATTTAATATGTTTATGAAGAGTATAAAATAATACATTTACAGTTAAGGCAAAAACCTGAGACATCACTACAAACACTACCTTTCTGGGTCACTTTCACATGCTCTGCCAGGTTTTCATACTCTGCCAGTTCCTGGAGAAAATCATAAATAGCATCAGCTGCCATCATTTATCAGGACATGCTAACATCACTGTTCCTCAGCCGACAGTAAAAACAGTTTATTAACCTGTTTGCACTGAAACTGTAGAGCACCACGAGCACAGTTCATCCGATAATATCTCACTAATCTAATGATAACAGCAACATTGTGGTTTTGAAAAATTGCATGAATCGCACACACAGCTGGACTGCATGAGCGTGCACATGTGTGCTCACCATGATCATCCGCGCGATGTCTTTGCAGTCGTCCAGGTTTGCCGTGCGGAGGGAGAAAGCCATGTCAAGTGGATTTGATGAGGTTTTGTTCCAGTCTGTTAGAGGACAGACTGTGAGAAGTAGACAAGCTCGAAATTATTGATACTTCAGTTTGCTTTGCTCCTCTGAGTCCAGTGTGTTACTTCAGTTTCAACAAACAGCAGACATGTCCTGGAACCACTTTGCCCTGCTCCTCCTGCTCTGCAGCTGGACACACTCATGTAGGCTGGAGTGTGTGCCACTGAAAAATCTGATATCGATCCAACACCACGCAAATACAGGACCAGACAGAGAGAAGTGTGTCATGACTGATAAAGCGAATGCATCATCAGACCGCTTTATATAACCTACTTCCATACTACTCTTAACAGTGTCCCTGAGTGAATTTTAAACTGGCTCTGAAAGAATGGAAGAGCAGATCAGAAATATAAAGGGATATTTTAACAAAGGGCATTCACTTGGGGCGTCATGTTATGGAAAATGAATAAATACTGAACCTAAAAAAGAATATCTCACTGCTGAGAGTAAACCTGGAACACAAAATAAGGTCAGTTCATTCAGCTGTACAATCTCATTTTTTCAGAAAATCAAATATTATATTTCCCTCTGGTTTTCTTTCTGAAAAGTTTTTTAGCTAATAAATCTAATTAAGCTTCTAAACATTACACGTTTTCATCGATTTTTTCAACAATGCATTTTCTTTTTATTTCCATTTTACATACGATCGAAGACTTTTGAAAATAATAAAAAGGGTAAATTTGCAGGTTCGTTAGAACAAACTGTTGAGTGAATGTCCCACTCTGCATCTGTTGAAAAAAACAAACTATAAAGTGCTAAATAATAAATGTGCTATAGTAAGATAATTGTAATCCCAGAAGCTAAAGTGACCGTGATGAAGAGTTATATTAACCAGGCTTCAGTGTTTTTTATTACTGATATGAATATAATTTGTTTCCTCTCTGACTCCAGAAGAGAAAGAAGTTTATTTGAAATGTTAGACATATGTTGAATACAAAAACAAATCAAAAGATCCAGGGGGAAATGTAGCTTCACATATAAGTCAAACAGAATAAATTCACTGACGTGTGCTGGTCAATATTCATCTGATGTGTTGCCTTGTTTTTGTTAGCTTAATACACATCTGTTGAACTCATCCACAAACAAATGTTTGAAATTTCGCTGATTCTTTGGTATCCATCCAAAATTCAACAGTCCAGTCAGGATTGGCAGCCCAAAGTCCAGCTTGTTATTAACTCCTTTCAGTCTAAGGAACTGGAGACCAAAGGTAGTGACTGCTGACACCGTTCCAGGTGATCCAGAGGTCATAATTCAGAGAAACTGGTCAAGCAAATAACCTGTTATATCAGTTAATACAAATACACAGTACACAGCAGTACGGTGGGAATTTTTATCTCTGCTTTGAAAGTCAAAATAATAACCAGTCAAAGATCCCTCTTTTTTAAAAACAAACAACCAAAGTTTGACACACAAGTTTAGATAAAGAAGCATCATTATATGAAAAAATAAAATATAATTTTAGTCTAACAGTGATTTTAGTGAAACGGGTTTGTTTCATGGACATGGACTTTGACCACCAAACATTGAGCCACTCTACCATGATAACAAGTGCTGACATCTCCTGACTAGAGGTGCAAAATTTTTTTTTTTCAATTTTTGTAACTTTATGTAGCCAAAGGACTTAACCCATCTACTTTATTTACCATCAGAGTGCAAATTAAACAGTTCTTTACGTGGTGAGGAGGATGAACTTGTTTCAAGAATTTAACGAGTTTAAAGTTTTACTGCTGCCAATGCTGAAAGTGTCACTGGCTCATCACGCTGTGTGCTATCCGCCTAGCTGAACTGGTTTAAAAGTAGCATGGCAACTGCTTATTTATAGGAACTACAATTCATAATATAGTATCAAAACAAAAACTGTAGAAATTGGATTTTGTGTTGTCATCTTCAGTGCAGGGGGATGAGTACAACACATTCTCTCAGGTCTCCGTCTTAAAAACTTTTCTCCCGTCACCACTGAGCAGATGTTTCCTCACAGACTCATTGGAGGACTTCTTCTGTGCTTTTGGTTGAGGATTCCTTGTCATGCTAAAATTACTCCTCAGTGGCGCTTGAGCAACCTGGGCCTTGGTGTCACTGAGATGTTGTTCTGCTGTGTTGTTAAAATTACTTAAAAGTTAGACAGCTCTTCCCTGCTCCGGGTTTTATCACCTTTCTCAGGTAGCCATCCTCCTCTCAGTCTTAGAGTTACATTTACAATGGACCTGTGTTGGATATTATAGTCACTGAGACAGTGACCACCCGTCAGCTCTCTGCCTTGAAAAATAATTCTCTGTTGATCTGAAACAGACATAAACTAAAAGTTAAAATCAGGCACCAAAAGTCAAGAAAGGCTAATAATTTCTAAAAACTGAAAATACTTTTTCATTTACAATTTGTAAAAAAACATCAAAAAACCAAACAAAAAACATCTACTTGCAATTATGTGACCTGTGTATTTGGTGTTCGCCCAGATGCCCGTACTACAAAGCAGGATTTCATCTTATCCACGTAACTTTCTATGCTATAAAGCTCAGTCGCTTCTCGGATTGCTAGGGTTTGCTGTGAATGGTTAGATCAGCAGGTATGAAATCACTGCCCGGTACCAATCAAAACTCCATCACCATTCCTGGAAGATCTCTTTTTTTCTATCAGATATCCTGAGTTGATTCAGCTCAGGATATCTGATGAATACTGAGGATTTATAAGGAAAGAGAAAATGTAATGACTTTAGTCTCTACTGATTTCACCTAAAGAACTTGCAAATGATCCCTAAAGCACTGCCACATGTTAAATGACAATATTGTGGGGTCTGTTGATAATTATATTCGAAGTTATATATAATGGATGTGACTTAAGTATCATATCTCAGCTCAAGAATGATCAAGAATATGAAGTTTGTTCATAACAACTTGCATATGTAATTCCTGAAATATATAAATACAGTATGCCAGTATAGACCTGCGTGCTGTAAAGAACAAGAAATTCATAACAGGTTATTTATTTTAATACAGGAAAATCCGAAATATAAATATATCTCAACGACCTGTCCTTCTTCAACACTGGGGTAGATTGCTGAGCTTGCAACTAAACGCACCACGTAAACCTACTGAACTACAGTGCAAACTGATAAGAGCAGACTGTGTGAAAGCAGGGCTCTTTTGCATAAAAACAAATCATGTAACACCTGAAGGAGTGGGTGGATAGCAGTTTTTCTAACACTATGTGTAAGGCGGTAATCTGTAACTGTTGAATGACCGTGTTAATCACAATCATGCAGTGTATTAGTAGCGATTTCAGGCCTACCGGGGGGAACTCCTTCTTTCTCCTTTATTCGAAGCTTTAAACTCTCAACAGTATCATCGCTCTCCACTTCAAGCTCAAATCTCAATCCCTTTTCCGTTATGACCGTAACCGTGAGCGGCATTTTCGCGACGCTTCTTTCAGACCTTGTACTTTAAGTTTCCGATAATGGAAACTATCGTTCGAGTGGCCCTGTGTACAAAATTTGACGCGCTTCTTCTTCTTCTGTTTTTTTTTTTAAATTAAACTTTTAGGTGTATTACCGCCACCTTCTAGAGTGGCGTATGGATCAGAAACTACAGTACCGCCATTATGTTCTTTCACAAGTTTAAAAATAACAAAAACTATAAACATTGAGAAATAATTCCCTTCTCCTTAAATGATTCTTGTTTTATAAGAATATAGCACGTATATGAATATGTGCTCCATTTCTGTGCAATAATCACAATAGCCTGTTGCACATTTGTTAATTATTCTTTCCATTTCTTTGGTAGTTCTCCTTCTTCCCACATCTTGTAATAGACTCTATCAATATTTCCTAACTTGCATCACTCAGATTATTTAAGCATGCAATAACTGATTTGATCTGTACCATGGATGTTTTTTCCCAGATTTCTTTAATGCCTTGTTTAATTCAAAAAAGAAAAATTTATATGATTTACATCCTCATTATTTTCTTAATCATGAAGTATTTTGATATTTCTCTGTAATGTTGTTTCCCATCCTCTTTTTTCTTTGTCATAAAAGTTGTCTGTACTATCCACCTTTGCAAATGGTTTTGCTAATAATTCAGATTTATTTATCTAATTTTTATCATTATCTATTATTGCTGGGAAGTAATAATCTTTTGAATTACCAGAGTTAGGTTTAATTGTACAGTGAACCCTGTCTAATGGTGTATTTTTACCCAGTAATTCACAGTATTTTCTCCAATAAAGATTTTTACTGTCTTTATAACCCTTCGAACCTCTGCTTGTTTCCATATTTTCGGTATATATATTTATGTTTTGAAAACCTAATTGCGTTGTTTTATCGCTAATGTACATTCTGCTTTCCACCTTGGTACTTTCCTCACAAACCACCTCACAGACACCTCAGTTAGAGCCAAGCCTCACTCTCCATCTTCATCACCACCACCATGAAGACTCAAAGGGGTCCTGTCCTAAATCCTATCACCGCTCGGATTCTGTCTGCCATGATGGGTCATCATACATTAATTTCTCTGTCTCAATAAATAATGTTTAAGTGATCTCTCCTTATTGGCAATGGACAGATGCAGGGATATTAATCGTCACACACTTGTGCAGTAAAGAGGATGAATGTTGTAGACAGAATAAGACAGCTGATCAAGTTGTTTCACTAACTCATCTAAACTAAGCATTTTGTAGAGGATTAAGCAGCCTTGGCAGTTGTTTGATTTGAAATGGCAACTGTAATCTCAACATTTTGACAGCTTGTTTTGAAACTATAGAGTGGAAAATTGAGATTTTGTGTTACAATGCAAAGCATAAAAGTAAAAACTAGTGAGAAGTAAAGTAGTGAAGAAACTGTACTTCATTTCTTTTTTATTTCTGACAGCTGTTAAATGTGTAAGACAGTATCTTAATTATGTGTCTTATTGGTAACTTAATACAAAAAACACCCTCAGGAGAAATGTATACAATTCGCTTTATTCTATGACGTTACACACTGGAACATCCACTGCTTGTAAATTACATGTAGCTGCAAAAATACAACTGCAACTAAATTAGAAAACCAATTTAATGCCATTTATAAAATAAACACATATCTGAACTATATTCATTTAAAAAGGCGTGCTGCACTCTTAGCTTATATGCACAGACCTTCAGACAGCCTATGTAACAGTTATCCTTGTAACGCTGAGGTAGGCGCTTCAAGTTGTTAGGTTTTGCAAAGAGGCCACTGAGTGGTGCTCCATTCCTGCAGTGCGCAGGCTGACCTCATGGCTGCAAAGGTCACAAGGTCATGATGAATAGGTTAAAGTTGAGCCAGGTGCTTCAGCGCCTCCCCCTCGCAGCGCATGCAGTGGTAGCCCATGGTAGCAGTAACATCAAAGCTGCCCTGGCTGAGGTAAAAGTCCATAGATGGTTTGTTCCAGTTCAGGACGGTGAAGTTGAGCTGGTGGCAACCAGCAGCCAGAGCCAGCTACAGGAGAGCAAAAACAAGAAGGAAGACAGGAATGACTGCTGTAGATGTAGCATGGAAGCTGTTTCTGTATGCTGCCTCTGGGACACTGGCTAGTATGTTTTCGTGCAAATATTGAAAATAAAAAAAGCTTCAAGGTTTATCTTCTCCATTATTCACATGTTTCACTCACCTGTGCCACCTTGCTCATCAGTGCTTTACCAACACCTTTCCCTGAAAGACAGATCATGTGCATTACTTGAGATTTCCTGCAAATATAAGGACACAGTGATGATGAGACATCTTCTCAGAGGCTGTACTGTACCTCTGAACTCAGGCATCACATACAGGTCCTCCATATAAATGGCTCTGCCTGACCAGGAGCATAGAAATAAAGTGCATAGCCGATCTTTGTGTGCCCTGAAAGAAGAAAAATATCTACTGGTAAAAACAGTCGACATTTGGAGGAGCTAAACCGTGTCTGTATTCATAAAATTTGTATATTTGTTTTGCCGTTCCTTCCAACTGAGTGAATGACTCTGAACATTTATCAGAGTGATTATTAACAGCATAATGCTTTACTTTACACTGTAAACACATAAATATGTATCATTTCCTTTACATCAGTGAAAAAAATTATACAAATTTTGGTGCTGCTCACAGTTAATGTGCAGCAAACTTTATAAATAAAACCTCACATTTTTAACCTTTTGTTAAAAATCTGCCCTGTTCTTTTGTTTCTCCTGCTCGCCCACTCTGTCGGTTATTTTCACTTACTTTAAGGGTTTTGTCACATATGGGTTCATATGTTTTTTTAAACACTCAACCATCAGTTCTAAGTTTGTTACAGCTGTTAGACAGTAGATCGCAAACAGTGTGTGAGAAAACTGGGCGTAACATGATCACCTTCTTTGGTTTTGTGCTGTTCTGGCACCTCAGCAATGATCCCGTGAAAGAACGGGTTCTTGGAAAAGCCATCCTGCTCCAAGTCTGAAAAGAAATTATAGATACTGTTACACGGTGTTTTCACAAGGGGAAATTCAGTTTGCATTTAACAGTTTGAGGCTTTTTATCAAAATGTAATCTTAGCTAAGAGAGAGCTTTAAAACCAGTTCTTGACCTTTTGTTGGAAAATACAGTGCAATGGTTTTTCCTCAAAGGTCCATAATTCCTAATTTTAGAATGAAGCTTCCTGGGAAAACCTGTTACCTGGTGGTAGAAACAAATGGCTCACAGACAAATACTTTATTATAGTGTGAAAAATCTACTTAGCTTACACAAATATAACTAAACAACTAAATTTGGGGTAGCTGTTGCTCAGGCGGTAGAACAGGTCATGTACTCATTGGAAAGTTGATGGTTCGATCCCTGACTTTCCCTAGTCTGCATGCCAAAAATCCTTGGGCAAGACACTAACCCCAAATTGCTCTCCGATGCATCCATCGGAGTATGCATGTGTGTGAATGTTAGTTAGAAAGCACTAAATAAAAATGTGCTTGTGTGTATGGGTGATTGCACAATTTGTACAAAGCGCTTTGAGTGTTCATAAGAGTATAAAAGCGTTATATAAGAACCAGTCTATTTACCATAAACACCAAACTATATTTGATCCAGATACTTTATGGTTAAAAGTGTGTTTTATCTGGACGTGCATTCCCACTTCAGCTCCTGGCAGAAACTCCAGCTGTGGTCGAAGCCCACATTGCTTCAAGATGCACATGACTCTATAGAGGAGGTCAGCAGAGAGGTACAACAGTGTCTACAGCCATCTGTAAAACACGGTATAGGCTCTGTCATGTTTCAGAGCTGCCTTTCAGCCAGTGTGGTGTTGGATATCCTGTCAAAATGAAGAAATTATGAATGCAGAAATGTGCCACCAGAATTTGATCAACCATTCAACACAATCTGGAAAGTTTCTGATTAGCAACACTTTCGTCTTTTATCTTTCATCAAGCACTGCAAGTCATGGACTGAAGCAGCTGCATCTGCATTTAAAAAAATGTCAGTTGAATGTGTACGTGTCTTAGCTCAGCTTATTTTACAGCTGCAGACATTAAAATTTAGTTTCTGTGTTTCACTGACAAGATTTTATAAGATCTCATTTTCCCAAAGTCAAGAATAAACTGTCAAAGGAGCTTGCAAAGAAAAGCGTCTGGACTTCTTTAAGTTGCTTGAAGACGTTTCACCTCTCATCCGAGAAGCTTCTTCAGTTCTAAGGTCAAATGGTGGAGAGTCCCAGATATAAACCTAGTGGGAGTGACCCCCCACAGAGGGACAAAAGGACCCCCTGATGATCCTCTAATCACCTGAGCCAAGGTGTGAAACTGGGTTTCGGGTGAGTTCATTGTGAAATCTGGCCCCACCTTATCATGCGAATTCCTGAGGTTAGATGGCCCAGGATGTGAGTGGGCGTTAAGGCGTCTGGGAAGGGATCTCAAAACTGGATTATAGATGGCAGAGAGTTGGTGTCGTAAACCCCGCCTCTGTTCAAAGATGGTCGCTCACAGTGGACATAGATGGCTTCTTTCACTCCTCTTTCAAACCATCTGTCCTCTCTGTCCAAAATGTGAACATTGGCATCCTCGAAAGAGTGTCCTTTATCCTTAAGATGCAGATGGACTGCTGAGTCTTGTCCTGTGGAGGTGGCTCTTCTATGTTGTGCCATGCGCTTGTGAAGTGGCTGTTTGGTCTCTCCAATGTAGAGGTCTGGGCATTCCTGCAGCGAGGAATGCTCAGACCTCTGACTACGATGACCTGGATGACTGAGAACCTTCACAGACATAAAGAATAAACTGTGCACCTCCAAAAATATCACCTTGGATTTAATCGTTTTATAAATATTATAAAAAAAAATACCCTGAAAGTCAAGGCAGAGACCTTGAGACATGACTACATACACTACCTTTCTGGGTGACTTTCACGTGGTCTGACACTTTCTCATATTCTGCCAGCTCCTGGAGAAAAACAAACAAAGCATGAGCTCATCGTTCATAACGAGCTCTCTAACATTTATTAGCCTGTTTGCACTGAAACTAAAGAGTAGTGATGGGACGTTCTGTATCGAGGCTTCGGAGCGTGTGTCGAGTAATGGAGGGGGCGTTTCCGCGAAGCGCGTATCGAGGCTTGCTTCATTTATGGGAGGAGCTGAAAATGATGACGTCCGAAGCCTCGCTGCCCGGCTGTACCACGTGACTGGTTCATGAAGTGGTTCGAACTTTGCCGCGAGATATGACAGCGATATAAACCCCTCAGACTTCAATCAAAATGTGGGTGTTTGATGGAGAGTTGCTGTTAGTGAGAGTTTGGAGACAGTTTGGAGGTTTATGAGAGTGAGGAGAGAAAGTCAGGAGAGAATGGAGCCAGCTAAGAAGAGGAGGATGTCCTCCCCTGTGTGGGAACATTTTGATCTTATTCCTCCCAACAAGGTATGTAAATTTCTACAGAAGATGTATTTTCATAATACTGATGGTGCAATACAATTTATGTTAAGCTGTCTGTATTTTTGTACAAGGTGAAGTGTTTGCTATGTGCCAGGGAGCTGGGATATAACAACAACACCTCATCCATGCTTAGGCACTACAGAGCTTTGCATGAGAATAAGGGGAACACCGATTGTGGAGCAAGACCAGGTGAGCCATCAAATGCAATGATAATATAGCATGCTGTAATGTTACTAAATGATATAACAATATTATACAACTGTAATAAGTTACGTGTGTGATATTTATATTTGTGCTTTATCTTTATTGTCTTTCCTCAGGAGAACAATCTCAAATAGATGAAGACCTGGTCAGCATGGTGATTGAGGACTCACAGCTATTTAGCATTGTGGAGGACAAAGGATTTAAAAGATTTGTTAAATCATTAAATCCCAGCTATGTTCTCCCCACTAAAAAGGACGTAAAAGCAGTGAAAATTTAGTTTTTACAGAATAAAATGTGAACAGGCAGGACTGAGGCTCAAAGCCTCAGTGTGTAGCTGTCCATACCTCAACGTTACAAAAGCACAACTACTGTCCACACCCCAACCACACCTCACCTCACAGTAAATGATCATTTCCATTTCAAGCATTTCCAAATAATCATTTTCCATACTGCCACTATAAATATACACAGTATACTGCCATCACTACAATATACATGTTTTACACACTCCTTTTGTTGTTGACATTTACAGGCTGTGTGCAAAATGCCACACTCTTCAAATTCATGCCAGCTATTATTTTTACGTCCAGTAGGTGTCCTGCTAGAGCAAATGAAGCTTCATGAAGCTTCGCATTGGGGTGAACCAATTGGATGAAAAGCTTCAGTGCTTCATGGGGCTTCATCTGCCCATCACTACTAAAGAGCAAAGCGAGCACATTGCATCTGAACCATGTAATAATGACAGCAGCAGCAGAGAGGTTGATGGATGTCAGCCTGACGGTCGATGCATGTCACTAAATGTCTTACACACACAGCTGGACTGCGCGCGCACGTTTCCGCTCACCATGATCATGCGCGCGATGTCCTTGCAGTCGTCCAGGTTGGCTGCACGGATTGAGAAGTCCATGCTGCGTAGATGTGGTGATGAGGTCGTGATCGCAGAGCTGGACAGCCGCGTTTCCTTCCAACTTCTTCTTCTTCTTTGGGATTTAAAAGCAGCTGGCATCCGTCTCCATTGCATTACCGCCCCCTGTCACATGTACTACTCTGTCTTTGCCAGTTTTTTCTTTACTGGTAGATTTCCCTGCTAACGCATCTGCTTTCTGATTTCCCAGAATCCCTGTGAGAGCTGATGCCACATGAACACGATTTTTATCCACTGACTTTTATCCACCAATTAACTGTGAACTGACTGACAACATGGCATAAACTAAAAACCAGCTGTCCCCAAAAGATACCAAAGCTTGCCTGCCATCATTTCCTCTTCCTAATCTAGCTAGCAAAATTGTACATTGCCTAAAATCATGTACACTGAGAAGATTTTTTATGTATACCAACCGGATTCCTGGGAATAGCCTCAGTGACTCCTGTCAAATGACTCCTGTTGTGGCTCATCTGAAAAATTTGCACATATTCTTTATATATGAGGTCCCCAAGAGTGAAATCTTCTTTTCTTTAGCATGTGCATTTTGAGACCTCCATACTGGAATTGCAAGACAAATCATAAAAGTCAGTTTTTTAGACTTTTATGTCATCAAAAATGTTTTTTTTCTTTTAAGCCAATCCAGTATTTTGCAGCATGCTGCCTTATTTGAATCCAAAGTGGAGTCATCCATCAACAACCTTTACACCATCACTATCACAAGAAGGTGGTCAGAGCTGATCCCTGATTTGATCCCATCCTCACATTCAAACCCATCTGTCACTCCTATCACACACATCACTACTATCTCAGTGTCCTCACACATGTCATGAACAAGCTGTGACACGGATTGCCAGCCCCGGCAAAAAAAAAAAAAAAAAAAAAAAAGCTGCCCGTACTCATGTTGCCCCGACATCAGCCAGCGCATTTTGGGGGTGGAATAGGCACCGGGCGGGGTGGCGGGGACTCTCTGGCTGGCTGGAGCAGCATCTAATAACAACACGTTCTCATTTCCAAAGCGTAACATTTTACGACAAATCGTCAACATGTTGAGAACGGGCTCGTTGTGGTGATCCAAAAGTCCAAAATTAAAACCAATGCAAGATGGACAAAAAAAGTTCAGGTGCTCAGTGTAGAAAAAAAAGGGAAAAGAAGAGGAGGAGAAACGAGCAAAAGATACAGGTAAGCAGATGTGTCATTGGATAATGGCAGATCATGTATCCTGAAACTATCAGAATCATAATCAGAATACTTTATTAATCACTAAGGAAATTATGTGCGTTACAGTTGGTCCAAGAAGAAATTGTAGGAGTGTTCGCCCAGGGGTTTCTGTTAAAGAATCAAGCAATTAAAAAAATCATGTTAACTTATAACAAACATCTGTGTAATTAAACCTGATCGATTCTCTTGCTCTTCAAACCAAAAATAATATTATAATAAAAAAAAAAAGCTAAAGCATCAGTTTAAAAAAAATGAGAAAGAAGGGAGCAGAATTTTATTTCCCAGTCCTGTAAAATAACAGTTTCACTCGTTATTTCTCTTGTGCTTTGCCCTTTTTCCACACTTTTGCTTACTTCATTTAAACAGTTTATTTGTTAATGTTTCCTCCATTATTTTCAAATCATCTCTCAATACTGCATTTTAAAATATTAAATAAAATAGTATTACTTCAAAAGTTTAGGCCACCTGATTGGTTGAGGAAGTAATGCGCACACACCTCAGATCAATTTGAAATAAATAAAAAAATAAATTAGATTTAATATTGTGGAATTTATTTTAAATATAAAACACACACACAAGAAAGAGGTCGTCTGTCCAACAGGTATGCAACAGGGCAATGATCACAGCATGCAAGCAAATCCTGACATTTAATTCGCTTGTTTTTGATGTTCATCCTCAGTTGTTGCATGTTTGTCTTCTCCGTCGCTAATCTCAACCTGTCTATTAGATTATCACAGCTGCATCTCTGTCACTAACTTCACTCCTGAATTTTCATGATGCCGGACAATTTCTTTGTGTCCATTTTCCCCCCAAGTGTCCTGAAAAACCTTCATTTACTGGGTAATCTCATTAACATCAGAGTTCAGATCCAACACTAATTATCACTGTAATTATACTTGTCCATCATTTTTGTGTGTATTATCACTCTGCAGTGTGATAACTGACTTTGCTTTCTCATAAGCATCTTCTCACTGGTCATATTTGTCACTTATTGCAGGTGGAAAACCTGCCTGTTTTAACTATCTACAGCACGAATAATAAAATACATAATAAAAAAAAAAAAATATATATAAAGAAACATATGCCTATGGTAACAATTATGAGTCTTGCTTTTTGCCTTTCTGTAAAATAAAAGATATGCACTCTGGGATCTAGAAGAAGAAATAGAAAAAAAGACAAAACACAACTTAAAAAAAAACCTTAAAACAATTTTGAAAAATACAATCTGCACTTGTGATTAGAGTTTGGTGTAACATACTCCATACGTACAGTCATCTATATCATATTTGTGTTTAAATAAACTTTAAATATTGATATATTTGCAAATTAATCTATAGCAAGGACAAGAAGAAAGACAAAAACCTACTTCTCCTGGAATGGTTGGTAATCAAGCTATGAAGGAAAAAAACAAATATAACATGATGAATTTTTCTTTTATTTTTATACATAAACATACAATACAGTAATTTTGGAACGTGTTTCAATTACACTGAAGAAAACGCGATCAGCCTTACCGGTGTGACCTGGGTATCATCAAACTTATACCATCTGTCTTCATCCTGGGTTTTGATTGTTGCGCTGTAATGGCCACCTCTCAGACCACCAAAATGATCCACAACTGCATACAGTTCGTACACCTCATTCTGATCACAGAGGACAAAAAATAACAAAGTGAGAAAGAAAAATGAAGATGATTTTGATCAAATATTAAAGTACACTTTGTAAATACCCCTGGTATTTGCAGGCTGTAGGGAACCTCCACAAAACAGCTGGTTTTGAAGTAGGACATGTAACTGTAGTTGAACTCAAACCTCTTCAGCAGCAGAATCAAAACATCTGGGTGATGTTTTATCACATCTGTCTGAGTGAAAAATATGGGTTATTAATGTGTGTCATTTCGTTATAATTTCATTAAATCAATATCAATGTTCAGAAATCACAAAAAATTCTTCATTTACAATAGTAGCATCAACTTTGTGACCGCAGCGGTCACAGTACATCTGGTGTTCTCCATTTAGACATGTAGGTCTGAAAAACTCCTCGATGCCGTTCACCTGAAAAATGAAAACTAATTCAGAAGCAGCTTTGATAAAGATGTGCCGAAGAGCTCAGCGTTCACAAAGATTTTCTCAAGAAGGGCATGCTAACATTAATAATTCATGACCTCTTTAAAAGACATAATATTGTCTTTTGAAGTGAGATATAAACAGTAAAAACAAACCAAAATTTCCAACATTCATGAACACATATCAGTGAACTCAGGACTTGGACTGTAGAGTTGATTAGATGTGTCAGAAAAAGAAAAAAAGGTACTGGACAGATCTGAAGACAAACTGAAAGGTCTACAATTTCATTGGCAGTTTACCTCAGTGGGATTTAGATCCAGTATGTAAAATTTCACCTAATCTTGGTTAAGCTTCAACATTTTTTTGTAGTATTCAGACATGAACTCTCTAAGACCTCAGTAACACAGGTTCACATACTTGATAAGTGTTGGAAAGTGTGTATTCCCAGTTAGCGAGTGATTGCTGGCAGTCACTGGGTGAAACTGGTCACAAAGATGCTGAACCAAAAAACTCCTTGCAATTCCTTTGGTTGCTAGTATTTTGCCATGGTCATCAAGTTTGGATGATAGCCATTAAAACCTTCAGCCACCACTCGCTAACTGATTTTCCACAAAACAAACAAAAATCACATCAAAAACTCAATTTTGTTTTTCTACAAAACATTGGATTAGGTTTACCTTTTCCTATAATTTCTCACTAAAAGATACATTTGTTGCATTTTCTGACTTAGGATATTTACATGACTCATGAGACTGTAAGTCAACTGTGTTATGTTTGTTTTGTAATGCATTGAAAGTAATAAGAAATATATTTTAAAAAAAGAAACATTTTCAGAAATAATATTAATTAATATGTTTTGACACAAGCAGGATCTAAGGCATCATCTGATTTTTATGTGTCCACATAGTTCCCAATCAAACAAAAGTGTTCATTAAGGAAAATGATAGAATGACACTGTGTTACTGGCAATATTATGTGAACTTGTTGCAGCTGTGAGTCCTGAAAACAGAAACATGCTGAGAAGTTTATGTACTTACTACACTGTAGTCTTGATTGTAAAAATCCACCAATGACAGAGGAAGATGCCAAAATGGTGCATCCCTGTCAGTCTCTTTATGACCTTTAGAGCAGGTGATTTGGTTTGCTAACAGACCGTGGAAGATCTGAAAACATAAATGAACAAAAACATATTATTAAGTATTATTTTCAAACCAAATGATTCCATTTGATATTGACAAAGACCTGTGATGCCTCGGGACTGGTCATTGTTAAAATCTTCTCGATGCATTCAGCAGCATCTCGCTGTTCATACACTGGGTGAAGAAATATATGTGCATGTCTTTAACAAACATATTCATTAATTTAAAAAATATATATAACCCCATAATTATTCACAACAAATGCCAATCATAAACCCTCAAAATGTTGTGTAAACTAATCAAGTTTCTCAAAAACATGAAACATCAAAAACATTATTCAAAGGTTTTGTTGTCTGTGTGTTATCATACTGTACCTCTGCTGATGCCCAGCTGGGTTATTATTTTGTGTGTGTTTGCTGTATGTTTCTGTAAATTATCAAACAAGTCTGTAAGGGCACCAAGAAGCCCAATGCCAACATTTTGTTTGGAGGACCTAAACACAGACAAAGTCCCCATAAGTAATAAAAATGAACCATAGACCCCATTAAATGTACATATGTGACAATAATAAACCTTTTCACAGCTTCTCTGAAGTCTTCGGTCATAAACAGCACCTGCAGCACACTGTTCAGGTAACATGTCGCACCTTGGTTTACCAGCCCATGGTATTTAGCTTCTGTAAATTGCAGAATAAGAACATGAGTGTGCACCATAAACTGCCAACACAAGCAGAAGGTCGTCAGAAAATAGCTCGTTCCCTTTTGCGTCTTTTCTACAATCCATTGAAGTCAATGATTTGATCTACATTTGCTAACCTTTAATACCAAGAATAATTTTTAAATAATAGAATTAATTAAATTTTGAAACTCATTGTTTTAACCCTGGCTTTTCATTCGAGTTCTGCTTAAGTACCATCAGATTTTTTTAAATGTTGTTTATGTTGTCACTACATAATGTATTTGCGTCTTCTCACGTTTCGTTTTACTGTATTTAGTTTCTATTGTTCATTAATGAACTTGTAATGCATTTTGGTTAACTTTGCTGTTGCTTGTAAATGTGCTATAGAAAACACTGACATTTACAAATTGACATTGACATTCCTTGTCAGGTACCTAGCAGGTTAAGAAAGGCACGTCCTTACAAATGGCGCAAGGTGTATAAATTCTCATCATATGTCAGTAAACTCTTAATAATAAAGCAGCTCAATTGAAGACGCTCTGAGTAAAGGACAGTTCCTCTTTCAACAGCGTTTCCAGGCTGAATTTAAAGACGTCTGAAGAGCGTAGGAAAAACTTTATATAGAGAACACACAGAAGAACAATTAACCAAAAATAAATAAATAAATTTCGGGACTTCGAAATTCACTACAAATCTTACCCACAGAGGTAGAGATGTTCTTGAAACCATGTCGACCAAATAAACGCATTTTCTGCCCCTGTGACGATCTACAAAGAAATTGTTGTTGGAGGCAGAAACAAACGCGATTATTTTGAAAAGAAATCAAAGTAAGCCAAAGATGCAGGCCTGCCTTCAACACAGTTTTAAGACATTTCTTCAGATATTTGTTAATAAAATAGTTCATTCGCTATAGGAGCATTAGGCTATCTCAATCTCCCGTGCAGTTAAAAACACTCCGACTATCGCTTTCTCTTTCACTTCTGCCGGATCAGTGATGGGTTCAAGGCGTGTCGGAAATGTTAATTGTTAAAAATGTTGCGCATTTCTGTCAGTTTCCTATTCTACAGGTGCAAACTCAGCAGCTTTCTTTCTCTTCCCAAACTGTTCTGTTCTAAGTATTTCTGTTCCCAACAATAGCTGGCATCAGCTGTTGCACTAACCTGGAGGTTCATGACTACAGCAGGCTACACATCACCAACCTTTAAAAAAATATTTATTGCACATCTTATATCTTAATATTTATTCAGATTCAGTTCAACCCAGTTTTATTTATATAGCGCCAAATCACAACAACTGTCTTCAAGAAGCTTTATATTGCAAGGTAAAGACCGTATAATAACACCAAAAAACAGACATTACCCCAACAATCTTAAGACAACCATAAGAACCATAAGACACAGACATTTAGTATAATAGATTTATTTTATGCAATGTCAGAAACTGTATGTTTCAAATGTGAACATTACAAAGGATAACTGTAGAAGTGCACTTTAGATGTTTTTATGCCAAAGAATCTGAGGCTGCCAGTGGTGAGATTTACAGGATTTGTATAGTAATGAGATTCCATTTCCTGTGGACACCGTAAACACCTTCAAGCAAAAGAAGTATCAGATATCATGAGGCATCAGAAGAAGCAGCAGTGACAATCACATGTTGAGATGGTGTCTGTCAGACTCTTGGTCTTACAGCAACTTTAATCACCATGAAAATGTCAGATATCTGCAGACCCCACAGTATCAAGAAAATCCATCTTTTGCCTCAGCTAAAGAAAGGTTACCAAAAATATTGATGGTTAAAAACTGTATTCAAAGACAAGTTGACCTCTAGAACTTTCTTTTTTAAGCAAGCTCATCCAAAGCTAGCCCAGTAGAGCCCAATAATGAAAAAGGAAGACAGAGAAACCAAAAGACGAAAGAACCCGAGTTACACATACACTTCATTCTTGTTTTCATGTTTTCCTCCACACTGGGATGGAGGTCTGCCTTGGCGCGACCCCACTGGGGCAGATTTCATATGGTGAACTGGAACATTCACGCTTTAGTTTCAGGCAGACAAAACAGAACTCCATTTTGCAGCGAGGACATTTGATATTTTTGCAGTGTTTTCTGTTATGCTCCACCCTCAGGCCACATGTAGGACAGAGTCTGATGGCGGGGCAGCTGGTGACGCCCTTTACGTCAGGCAGATCAATGGTTTTACATGTCTGCAGAAGTTGCAGGTCCTTGTTCTCACAGCCGTCGTTGTCGCAGCGGTCAGATCGAGGGCCTGAACCCTTCCATGGTTTCAGACACTGCCAGCAGAAGTAGAATTTCTTCTTCTGAACAGCTGTGCATACGACACACTTTACACACAGGTTAGACAGATCCATCCTCTCCACACTTGTTTTGCACTGTGGACACTGATGTGAAAATAAATGAAGGGACATTTTTAAGAGAAACCCAACCACAATATTAAAAAAATATTGAGTCCACTGGATTTCACTGAAATCAAGAAGCTGTAAACATTAAAAAGGAAAAACAAATTAAAACATAAATAACTGGGTCACTTACTTCCTGAACCTCACAGTGGTCTGCAAGAGCCAGACGGGCCATGCTCTCTTCAAAGTGCTGCATTTCCTCCACAGTCAGATCAGCCAGTCTGCGCACCTCCTGGTACGACCACTCTTTATTACACTGCTTGGTTCCCTCCACTAAAGCCGGACATCTGAATTTGTAATTGCCCTTTTAAAAAATTACAATTTAAAAAAAAAAAAGTTAATTTAATTAATTTGAGCGCCTCCTGGGTGAGGTGTTCTGGGCATGTCCGGGGCCCGGGACAGACCCAGGACACGCTGGAGAGATTATATCTCTCGGCTAGCTTGGGAACGCCTTGGTGTTCTCCCGGACAAGCTAGAGGAGGTGGCTGGGGAGAGGGAGGTCTGGGCTTCTCTGCTTAGGCTGCTGCCCCCGCGACCCTTCCCCCGGATAAAGTGTAAGAAGATGGATGGATGGATAATTAATTAGAATTTGTTGTTTTTAAAACTCCTACTTTTATTTTTAATGCATCTTTATACCTTCGTTCTTTTACGTTTTTATATAGTTGTTAAATCTGCAACATGTTTAGCTACAAATATAAACAGTAAACCAAAACATTTCTGCAGATTACCTATTGGCACCCAATCATGTGATAACTTAAACAAAATCAGTGTATTTTACAAGTTCAATAATTTTACCTCTTTTTGCTACAAACACATAAAGCTGTTAAAATCAATCTGAAATGATTTTACCAAAAACTCCAAAAACTAAATTTTAGATGGAATTATATAATAACTATAATAACAGACCGGTATTTGTATCTGTATTTGTATTTGAGTAAAATTCAAATAGGTGTAAAAATCCAGTTTTTTGCATTACACTTCTAATTAATGTTAGAATGTAATTATTCTTTAATTATATCCATTATAATAATTATGGATATGCAATATTAGTTGATGGTTTTCCATAAATCCAGCAATGAACATGTAACAAGGAACCTCATTGAAAAGAAAATAACATCCATTGCCTCATTCGTGGTTAAAACCAACAACTAGTAAAATACCACTGCGAACATTATGAACCCCACCACCACCTTGGACGGGTGGTGGTGAACAGACAGTGAAACTGGCTTGCAGGGACAGAACATGGCTGTAATTGTGGGGGGATTGGCAGACAGTACCAGGAATAAGATGCTTTAAGTGCATGTGATTATGCATAACAGATGTTGACAGATGTTTGATATCTCTGCCTCTGCTGATTTGACTTTTGCACACATTACATATCACTTTGGTTTCATCTGCAGCAGTGAATGTAAAATGCTTCCACACAGAACTGGAACAAGATTTTTGGCTGGTGGAGGACCAAGAGATGGCTCAGCAGCAGCAACACTCTTTTCTATTGAGTTGACCAAATCCATGTGGGGAGTTTCAGCTACGTTAATGAGGACAACGGGAAGCTCTGCTAAGGTTAACTGGCCTATAGCCTACATCTTGCTGTCTGCAAAAGACGAGTAACTTAAATGTAACAACTCCCACAAGTGCATACAATTCAACACAACTACACAAGCATTGTTTTAACCTTTTAAACCGAACTTTAACTTTACTCTGTCAACAGCCTATTGTCTAAATTACCGAGGGTACAAAAATTCTATTCAACAAAAATAGTGATGCAGTTCAGTCTTTTATCGCTCAGCTGAGTCTTCTCTGTTGCTGTGTGGAGCAGCCTGTGTCAGTCACCTTTCACACGTCACTCACTCATCCGGTCATGCACTGCAGTCTCATAAGGAAACTCAGCTTTTTAATATAAAGTTTTTCTTGTTCCCGAATACAAATATTTTTTAAAGTATTTGTTCGAAATAAGTATTCATAAAAAACACGATATTTGTTCCTTTCCCAATACGTATTCAGGTTCGGCTCCACCCCATCACATACACTATCTGCTACAAAGACATGACACACCTGATCCAGCAGGGTACGACACCATCGTGTCAGAGATTCAGGAGTGACAGCGTGGCCACAGGACATCTCTGCTCTGAGAGAGTCATCACCTGAGGAAGAAGTGGACAATAACAGATGTATCAGTTACACTACATATACTGGATTGCACCAAAATATAATAAACTCCATGGCTCATGAAAAATTTAAAAAAGGAATAGGAGAAATTTTATAATGTGTGGTAATGACTGTCAGAAAAAAATGTTTGTAGCAGTTTTTGTGGGGCAACATGGTGGTGAAAAAGAAAAAAAAATCTTACACAGTGGATTCAGATCATCTGGCCTGTTGACGAACTTTAGGGTAGAATCTAGTGGATCGTATCGCTTCTCCACCTGCTCCGGTCCTGGAGCGCTCATTTGGGTTCTACGGAAAGAAAATCTGACACTACGAATACTGTCTGGTTTAGTCTTATGTTTAGTTTAGTTAGTTTAGTTTAGTCTAGTATATGGATTTCAAATCGCATCTGCCGTTATCACCTGTCACAAGAACCATGTCTTTTCCAGACTCGATACAATAAAAACGTTAAAAGGTATTACAGATGTACCGTATTTAAAGTACTTATGAGCCATTACATTTCTTTCTCACAATCGCTCTTCTAGTTCATGTTAAAGCTGTATGATGGGGCTGAGTTTAAGGCCACACCAAACTCATTCGGCCACGCCTTTATGGAGCTTGCATTCTGCACTGGAATGTGCATGTACGAACATGTATTCATTTATGATCGCGGGCTGAATAATGTTGACTCATGTTAGAAAATGTCAGTTTTCATTGTTACACAAAGCTGCTACAAAATGTGTAAAAGGACGAAGGGTTCTGAAGCGACTGCATGCTCACAGTGTTGTGTGAGCTATCATGAGCCGTTTAAACAACATCCAGGGAATTTCCAGTTGGATGAAACTGAAAGCACCAAGTGCACTAAGTGCTTTCAGTTTTGATTGCCTATTATTTTTAAATTGAAAACACCTTTAAGAACAGTGATCACTCTATTAACAATGACATACATAACCATATTAGGACTACCTTATGTCACAGATTCTATAAGATGACACAGATTTAATTAGCAAAGGAGCAAAGACTGCAAATATCAAGAGTAGGTTTAAAAAGTGAAAGTAACATCTTACCCTGTTGGCACAGCTTGTGTCGCTTTAGTTTCTGGTACTTTCCTTCTTCTTTTACTTCCCAACCGGTATGGGAACAGCAACCTAAAAGTAAAAGGGATGAACTTAGTAAGTTATTGCTTAAACCTGTGGACAAAATGTGAACCATCACAGAAAATCTAACTAAGCTTCCTAAACGCACAGAAATATAGAGAAACATATATAGTGACAACTTATTGTCATCACATAGACACAATTTATTTTTATTTTATTTTATTCTACCTCAGGGAAACCTATCATCAGTGGCCATTATATATTATATATGTGTCTGTACCGAAGGAGTT